GTAGGAGACATGCATGTCCAGATAGATGATGATTTTAATTTATTTAATTTAATGGCGTTTTAGTTGAGATAAATGCATTTGAAATTAATAGGTTGGGGTGGGTGGCCACTCGGTAGTGAAATACGTTATATAGTAGTGAAATATTTACATTTAGCAGTATACACTTTTAAATCAAATTTTTATTGTATTGACAACATCCGTAATGATTAGCATATTCCAATAGCACTTCGCCTCGAAATATGTTGAAACGTGAGAGATCACCTTTGAGTTGTTTGCTGCAGCTCGTGGGACTGCAACGACTCTGACACCGGGCTATTTGACTTTCTATCGGTCGGGCCTTCAAGGGACTTTTTGTTAACCATTAAGCTAGCCAGAAGCCCTACCGCAGCAACGCAGACATACAAAATCCACATAGAACGAAGACTAGCGACATACGCTCCGCGGACTGCATTGCGCTGGTGGACGGGAAGTGATGCGATCAGGCCTACATTGGCTTCCGCACTAGACCCGTCAAAATGTGCTGCCGTCTCATCTCCAAGGACACTTGTAAGTGTTGTGGCATGAGTTTGCATGCTATGCTGGAAGATACTCCTCCGATGACAAAGAAAGAGAGGTGGCGATATTGCGAGTGAACCCAAAAGTTGCAGTCGCGGTCGCAAAATCGCCCGGGGCAACGTGGGATTGCAGCGCGATCTCACCAATTCCCATCATGTTAGCGATCTCTGCCAACGGTGTATCCCAGTTACACTTTATTGACGATCTAATAACGCTACGTGGGGGCGAAAAGGAGCAGCCGGACATTTTGGCCTGTACTAGTGGCATAACCATAGACCGCTATGAATACTTCACGGCCAAGAGACTAGATAATCTGATCAACAATGCGGCTCATGTTCTCAAACAACAAGGCCTTTCTGTTACGGTAATTAGCCCTACGACCAGTAAATGCTCGGTAGCTTGTTTTCCCTTGGTATCCCTTGAATAAGAAGTGGTGATTAATATCCTGACTGGCAATCGTAGCACAAAGGGAGAGGAGCCGCGCTGTGTTGCAGTCCTTGGCATATCAAACCTGGAATATTTGACGAATATCTGTGCTCTCAGTCGACTCGGATACAGTGTTTTGATTATTTCCCTAAGGCTATCTGTGCCGGCACATAACAATCTGCTCGATGAAACCAAATGCTCCACTCTTGTGTATATGCAAGAGTATAGTAAAATCGTGGAGCGACTGTGCGAAGTACGCTATCACAGCTGGCAACCACACCGATGCTTCAAAAACAAGACTTCGATCGAGGTGGTATCCCTGAAGCAAGAATCAAGCGGACTGCACCAAATGCTGCGCTTGCAAGTCCACACACTCACTGCCTTTGTGATGCATTCTTCGGGGTCTATAGGCGTACCCAAGCCTATTTTCCATTCTCACCGACGATGTTTGGAGAATTTTCAAAATGGGTTTGGGCTTTCTGCGTTGATAACCCTGCCTCTTTATCACACCTACGGCTTCTCTTCTTTCTTCCGAGCTGTGCATGGGAGAACTCTGATGTACCTCTTTAACTGGAATGTGCCTTTAACGTCAACTAATGTTATTAAAACGCTTCAAGCAGCAAATCCTCAGCTACTCTCTACAGCTCCCCCCACACTGGGTCTGTTAGCTAAATCGGAAGAAGGTATCAATGCTCTGAAAAATTGTGAATTGGTGACTTACCACGGAAGTGCGTGCCCTGATGAACTTGGGGACCGCCTGGTATAGCAAGGAATATTTCTTGTGGGTCACCTAGGATCGTAAGTAGCCTCAACTTGAACAATTTTACAAATTCCAATCACTAAAACTAGTCTACTGAACGATTCTAGAACAGAATCAGGACCGCTTGCAACCTCAAATCGAGCCCCCGAGGATACATCGTGGAGTTATTTACGATTCCTTCCATTCGTGAAACCATACGTTTGGATGAAGCCCATCGACGACAATGCATATGAGCTTGTCCTCCTGAAGTGTCTGAAAGCTAAAATCTTCTCGAATTCTGACGCGCCACCTGAGTCATTTCATTCGAGGGACTCCTTCGAACCGCACCCCACTATCCCTAATGCTTGGAAATATATTGGGCGACTGGATGACCGTGTCACACTTCTTAATGGCAAAAAGGTACTCCCACTCCCTATTGAAGGCCTGATTAGAGAGTCACCTCTTGTTAAAGAAGCCGTCGTGTTTGGCATTGGTAGAGTAGTACCCGGTATTATGATTTTCCGGAACCACGGGTTAGACATGTCTGACGACGAGTTTCTTGATTCTGTTTGGCTGGTGATACAAAAAGCCAATAAGAGAGTAGAGGGATCTTCTCAAATTGGCAAAGCTATGATAATTGTGCTGAGCACTGAAAACTCCTATCTAAGGACAGATAAAGGATCGGTCATACGTGCCCAGACTTAATGTGTCCTCTGGATTGATCGACGACGTATACCAGAGGCGAGATAATATTGAAGAGGGTGATCTAATACTGGAACACCCTCTTCCGAATGAGAAGTACCGGTGCTCTTATTGGTCAGATAGTACCAGTACTTAAAATTGATTTCCGTTTCACAGATTCCTCTCCAAGGCTCTCTCTCTTCCTAGTCATCTAACAGATATCCTACCGAGGTATCTCTCATAAGCTTCGTCGTCAGCTCGACCTTTCAGCAATTCGTTGAAACACTGCCGATGGGTCCAGGAAGGTCTCTGCCCGATAGCACTTCACACACCCAGCATCATCCTTCCGGAGAAAAAACACAGCGAAACCGGGAATGGTGATTTCGTCGGTATCTAGGTTGTCACCTTTGACAAGATATCGGATAGTCGCTGCTTGATAGATACGAGGGGCGACATAGTCGAAGTAGCGGATATCGTGAGTCATCTTGTCGAGTTGGCCGAGGACAGTTTTAAACATCTGCCGCACCTCGCTCCCCTTAATCACAGGGTTATTCGAATATTGCATCTCCACATCGTCGGTCATAAATTCGTCGAGCCATCGGTCGGCGTCAAGGGTAGCACTCGCCCGATGGAACTGAATATCGCTGTAAGCTAGCTGTGCTGCGATTTTCTGGAAGAAGTTGCCTTACCTCTTCTAGCCACTTCGACACGGCGCCATTATCAAGCTCAGGACCAGCTGGCATTGCGAAGATGAAGTAAAAGCATTCGGAGTACCGGGCTTTTGGAAATATGAAATAAAATGGGCTTTCAGAACCCGCTCAAGACCGAGATATGTAACTACATATGTAGCCTCTAAAGATTGCTTATAAATTCAATGTCGACAAGTGTTTCGATTCACAACAAATATCCGAGAACGTAAACATCTTACAAATGCAGGTATAGAGATAATTCTCGAAAAGGAAAACAGATACTTCCTATTAGGGAAAGACAAACGAAATTGACCATTTACGGTTAGAGTCATGAATATTAAGCCAATAATCTATTTTGAATGTGAGGCTAGTGGGGCCGGGTTCAATGTCCGGAGAGTCTCCAACTTTAATCGGCGCAATCTGGGCATTGGATGGGTACCGGTTTGGGTTGTGCCTTCACATGCTTAAGATTCAATCTCTCGTTGTTGGATCAATAAGTTCGTCCCTATGTGCTTGGAGAAGTCATGTTGGACCCGGTAGCTATATTGGCTACTCTCAAATCCGGAGGTCGATTCCCTTCCTTGGGGCCGGCTCTGTGCTCTCTGTGAGACCCTCTATGCGAATGTGGTTGTCTCATCTGAAACCATTGCTCAAATCATCTCCTTGTCTATAGCGCACCCCCTTCTCACCTGACCAATTGATTCGTAATTAATTTCATTTTATAATTCTATAATCCCTTCCTCACGTAACCTGGTACATACGACCATAGGGTGTGGAAAATAGGGCTTCCCGTCCGCTCAGCCGTACTCAAGCCACACGCCGGTGAGTTAGTAGTTGGGTGGGTGACCACCAGCGAATCCTCACTGTTGTATGTTTTTCGCTTTTTTTTTTTAAATTACCCTTAAAAAGGAGAGTGTAGTAGGTAGTAGTTAGCCCTTGTCGGCTCACAAGACGTGACGGCCGGCAGGTGAAAGGGTGCACCCAATTTAAAAGACGTAACATATATCACAGCCGGGCTTACCTTCTTCAATCTTCGACTGTCGGGATGTAGAAGACATGCCTGCATGTACGTATATCTGGCTATTAAAGCGGGTGACAACCTTAGCAGTGCTTGCCTGGCCCACAAAGAAGATAGCCATCGAAATTCTAAATATTGTCTGATAATACCCTTTTGTAGGAAAAAGCACGCCGCATGTTATCAAACCAGTGGCGAATTACTGCCGAATCACTGCGGAATAACTGTCAGATATGCACGTTGAGCGCGTTGATAGAGGTAGCGACGTGATAAATGTGTTGAGACGCGGCTGGGTGTATCGGCCATGTCGCCGAGATGGCGAGTTCAACTGAAAACGACAATTGATAGGGATGCTACATGATTTCCGAAGATTTTTATCGAGACCCTGCTAGAGAATGGTATGCAGGGGACTGACACATATTATCGTGCTCTAGGTAGGATATTGGTTTCGCCAGCCTTAAGGTCGATACATTTGCTTTCCCGATACTGAACAATGCCTCCCACAGTCTCATTGTGACTTGTTACTGGTATGTTCTCTAAGTTGTTCTCCATATCAATATCGCCCATTATTCTATCCACCTTTACCGCTTCTTTCTTTCTCTCAGCGCTATTCTCGGGACGACTTTAAGACAACGGTTTTATACTATAGGCTTTGGTTGATCTACCGAAAAACACTTTCAACCCAAGATGTCATACTCATCAGCCATGACGACCTTAATTCAAAACCCCCGGTTACGCCTTCTAAATGCTCTGCGAGCCGACTCAAAGCCTATCATGACCTTTTTAAAGCTTCCGTCCTTCCGCACGGCCCAAGTTGTGGCTCAGACTGGCGTTGATGTCAGCATTTCTCCTCTTTACTAAATGGATTTCCCACTGATGGCCATCAAGGGTATCATTATCGATTGTGAGCATGGATATATCAGCGACGATTCGATGCAAGCTCGACTGCCGCTATCGCTGCTCTGGGTGTATCATTCTTCGTCTCAGAATGACCCACGCGGATTTGATTAAAAGAGCTTTAGATTCTGGTGCACAAATTAAATTGAACCATCATTTCAAATCCGAAGTTTGTATCCATTTTGCTTTGAGTGAAGCATGAATCTGGTGGGCACAAGACACACAGGTAGCACAGAAAGAGGATTTAGCTCCGTGGCCAGGGAGAGGGCATCTTGGTTGGGGCCACCTCCTGGGTAACAGATTATTTATATTATAGTATGAATCCATGCAGCCGCGAAAACAATAAGTAACGGAAAAAAGGAAAAAAGAATACTGACTCTCCTTCCCTTTCCTGAGCGTCGAAGTGTAATATAAGAAGGATTGCAAGTGGCCAGACATCAGGTAGAGACTTCATGAAGTCATCTTGAGATTCTTGAAAGGTTCTTGCGCAAGATCGGCAACGGATGTCCTGAACGAACTTTTAGTGGTTGAAGGCGAGGTTTGGGATTTGGTGCCAGCTAGAAGCTGTCGGCCGGGAGGCCAGCAGTCAAAGGTAAACACTCCCCTTTCTTCTCCTTCAAGGTTATTTGTTGTCTCCTCTAGAACATTCTCCACTTGGGCGAAGTAGTTCTCAACTTGGACGAGATATCTGATGGCAGGGGGAGACCTTCGCAACATTGTGCAAAATGGTGACCTCCTTGTCATTGGGGCCTTGGAAAAAAAGCCGTGTCCGGTTTGAAGGCTTGAATAACCTTTGCACAGTCTCCGACATCGGACGACACACGTGTCAGACCCAGCACATGCATCAGATTCGAAGCGGTCAAATATCCAAATCCAGCGCGGAGCCCTCGTCGAACTCTTGGGAGAATGTACTCGGATATGCTACTTTTCAAAGCATTCTCTGATGTGATGGCACGAGGGGGTGAAGTGATCCGCTTGCATCTGGCCAGCAAAAGTCTTCAACCCGCTCCAAGATAGCTTGTGATCTCTGAAGACGACTTGTACTCTCTGCGGGAGATTTCGAACCTCAGAAGGCAGGTTTGAATTTAGCTGCAGGAGGTGCCGAACTTCTTCATCCGTCAGCAAGATAGATTAGGGCTGGTTTGATCAGGCGGAATAGGCACATTATGTTTAATGCACCTTAAGTCGTCCTCCATCTGATATCTTGTTCTTTCGACAAAACGGTTGATTCCATTTTGGGATCAACGGCCTCGTTCCATGTGGTTATCGATTCCCGTAATACTAACGGACTTGATCAGGTAGGGGTATGTGACGTCACGTCCAGAATGATAGTTCAATAAGCAGAGATAGTGGCGACGCTCTGCGTAGCTGTGGCGGAGAGAACTCGAATAACACCGTCGAAAGATCTTCGGTTGTAGTCTTTCCCCGTCGCATGGACCTCAGGGGATCCGTATTCATCTAGCCGGCAAAAGTTCGAACGGTAAAAGGCAGGTTTGGAGTTGGCCGCAGGAGGGTCCGAACTCGGTTTAAAGGGTTTTGGTTTTGAGAAACTAGGTCCTCGGGAGGAGGGGAGTTCGACTTGTCGTTGTCTATTTGTTGTATCTGAAATAGACATCTGCAAAAGATCTCCAAGCAGATCTCGTGCAGATGCTTGAAGCGACAGTATCAGTATCAAAACGTTCGGGACTCAACGTTTATAGGTGTCTTACTTGGGTTATGGCGGGAACGCAGGAAATCCAAGGCCAATGTTGTCCTCTCAGGTTCTTGGAGTGTCAAGTTCGACTGGGAGGAAGAAGGAGGGAGAGGGGGAGGGGTAGAAAGTGAAAAGGAAGGAGCCCTTTATAGCTCTCCATGGTGGTAACAGGGAGGTGCGGTCCGTGGATGCTCGGGCCCTCAGACATCCAACATCGTCTTTTACTTTAAAGGAATGCTACGCATTAGGCACTAATAATATCACATTAATATATAGATTACCATTTAGTTCATCCAGCTGGAAGTGGCTGCGGTGATGGCAATTTGAATTTGGACGTGTTAATTCAAGGAAGCAGATTATGATCAGACTAATATCACTTTGCCTTGTCTCAGTGGAAAGCAGACTTGGATACGATGAGCTCGCGAATCCAGAGGATGAGGGCCGTGCTGAGGCAAAGGCTGGAGAAGGAGATGCTGCGGAATCGGTCGTATATTGAGAAGCAGATTGGGATGTTCAGCTATACGGGGTTGGCTGAGAAGCAGGTGTCTCGGCTTCAAAAAGAGTTTTATTTCTATCTGTTGCCCTCAGATCGGATGAGAGTAACATCGACTATGTGGTGCATGCTATCGGTGAAGTCGTCAAAACAAGGAGTTGTGTTTAGTCGTTGAAACCAAGATAACAGCTGCTGTAGCTGGTCCACGGGTTATTCTTCATAGGCATATGTGCTTAATTGAATGCAATTATTTCTAAATTGTTTCGTTTTCATATTTTCTTTTTCTTTCTCAAATGCCCTGCAGGTGCCCAGGTGCCCAGGTGAGGAATTCAAATTAGTAATATTTTGTGTTGGGAGGAAGACCCTGCCTCTGATCCCCATTCTACAATACACCTGTTGGTGACTTAAGGCTATCTAAGGCAAGGGAGGTAGACAAATCAAGAGTTTTCCAAAGCTCCCAACGAGTTCGGTTTCATATTCACAATAGGCCTTCTCTTGGGGACGCATCTGGCTGAACGTTGTCGCAACATCAAAGTCAATCCATACTATCCTTTCACCGGAGACGACAAGCATGTTTTTCGGGTATACATCATGGTGGTGAACAAGTGCCTTATGGATCCGTTAATAACGTCGACTGCATAGCGAAAGAGATCTTTGGAAAAGTTCACACAGTTGAGTAGTTCGGCACTTGGCAAGTACTCGAGCAGAATCGCCCTTGGCTGAAACTTATCTTTGGGAAAATGTTGAAGTGACAGGTGAAAAATGGAAGGATCAAGTCGATCGATAAATCCATAGAAGCCGGAACAAATCCGCGATCGCAAAAACCGACGTTGTGGAGATTGTGATGGGCGTTTAATTCGCAGCGGAACCGATTCAGATCCCGGCCTTTCTTGCTGTATCGTAGGTCGTCATTGTCATGGAACTATATAATATATTAGCATTGTCCTCAGAAGTAAGAGTCGTACTTACGAGCTTCATAGTGTATGTCTTCCGACATAGCTGTATTTCATAGATCGTCGAGGCTTCCGAGCGACTGATCTCCCTTTTAATGTCAATATCAGAAGGATTTATATTCCGAAGGCAGTCATTCCGCAAATGCATGGTTGCTAGGCTACATTGAGTCAAAGGAAATTGACTAACTCGAGAAACCAGCCCTGGAGAGACGCGAAGCAGACAATTCCCGGAGTTGAGAAGAGCCCCCATATTCTGGCGCACAGACCACTAAAACGTCGAAGAACACGAAATTGACGTGGCACCGAATGTCAGCCTCAGATACGCCTAGTGCGTTGGATAGAATTGAAGGGCCAAAGTCAATATCGCGTTCTACCTCATTTTCTACGCAGTTACAACATGATCGGAGACAGTAAGAGCTCTGAGAGCTACGCAGGAACGAGAGAAGAGAATGCTCAGTACCAGGTATAATAATAGGGGTATATCCAAGAGGAATGGCTTTTAACCTGCATCTGACCAGGACGATGATAATCTCAATTGGATAAAAGTAGGGTAATCAGCATCCCCATTTTCGCGAGGTCAATTCATCTGATGCATTTGCCTCTAAAAGATCCATCGCAAGCACTTGCTCCCAGAGACCCTCTTCGCCTACAATTTGCCGTTCGAATTTTCCGAGGTCAGTCGAGTATGTGAAGGATTTGTTCAAGATACTGACGGAATACAGACCGACCCGGATTATATTGTGATCAAAAGGTGGATCAATGAAGAGGTCCAAGACAAACTTTTTGCACACACAAGGCTCCTTCGGGAAGACAAAGAGGTTCCTACTCACAGAGAGCCGCCGCCCTGGCAGGATGTGAATGCCTTCAATCCTTCCGATCCCTACAACACCAACCAAAATTTGAATTACCAGCCGCCCAAGTGCGGATCCTTCGGAGTACCGCTGAGCTTTGATGTCGGTTTGAAAGCGTCCACTGTCAAGCGATCTGTGGATGGTTTCAGAGCTGACCCATCCCACCGGGGGCATGTCAGCCAAAGGCTTGATGTCACCAGTTCGCGGATGCCGGGGTATGGAAAAGTGGTCCTTTATCGAACAGATGTGACGGTCAATGAGGGGCAGGACTCTCAGTTCTCATGGACGTGAGTTTTGAGACTGCTCGATCGTTAGAAGGCATACTCATTACAGCATTGAGTATTAGCCATATGCAAACCGACACGAAAAGCTTCAATGATTTCCTAGTATGTATCTTACGTGTTTTGGTCTATGGTTTTCACTAACGATGTAGCGCTTTGCGTCAAACGTACCAAATCTGGCAGATGAAGATAGGGCTCTCATTGTGTCTCTGCTGAAGCGAGCACAGCGGGATCCCCCCGGATCGAGTGAGCCACACTATGTGATGCGCTGTGTTGGCTCCAACTCCACCCAGAACCACACTGAAAAGTCGGCCATCTTCCTCCGTCTTCCTTACTATTCAACCCAGAAGATGGATACAACCCAATCCTTTCGCAGGTCCGCCCATTCCACGCGCAGCCTCCTGCAGTATTTTTACAACCTGGAGTCTACCCGTAACCGCGACCTACAGCAGGTAATTCGAAAGTCTGGGGCTTTCCCAAAGGGCCATGTTGTTCATGTATCCGAATTATGGGCAGTGATTGTCAATTTCCGTTCGTGAACGCCGTTTCTCACGAGCTAATCACAATATACTGACGCCTGATGACAGAATTCATCATTACCAGTGCACCCATACCTCTTATGGATGGAGCGAGTCCCTCTTTGGAGATCATGAGCCCGCCAACGCCCCACTCATCATCGCCTTCCAATATTTGTGTCATCAACCCCGACCAGCGTGTGTTCTTCTTTCCCGTGGAGCACTGCAAGACATTTTTTGTATGGCATCTGTTTCCCCCATAGCATTACCCGAGTCTCAGAATGTTAATGTCCATCGACCAGGCAATGAGAGACAAGATTTTCAGATATTGCTTACCAGAGATCAAAGGCCGCAGTTATGACTACCACAGGTATGAAGACCGGAGGTATGAAGGACGTGGCTATGGAGCCCACGGGTATGGAGGCCACAGGCGTGAGGGCCTCCGCGATTTTAAAATGTTTACTCAGGACAATGTTCAGATCAACGCAGAGGATTGGACCAAACTGACAGCCTCATGCGCATCCACGCTTCTCCGTATCCACATCGAGACCTTCATACCGGAGACCTCAGAGGAGCGCCGAGGTAAAGCGAAAGAAGAGAAAGAGAAAGAACGGAGGATGCCGGTTTATGATGAGGAATCTTCTAAAGCATGGGGAAATGAACAGAGACCATCTGAGACAGATAAAAAGGTTCAGTCTGAGAAATATCATGGTTCGTCCGAGACAGATGAACTGGTTCAACCAGCGGCAGGTGAAGGTGAACGAAGTCCGCATGAGACGGAAGAATTCACCAAGGATTCCGAGGCGGATTGGGGCTACAGATATAAGAATCTAGATGAGGCTCGCTACACCGGAGCAAGGCATCGCGTGCGACGGAGCACGAGAGTGGAATACCCCCCACTTTCCCCCGGCATAGTGATCAACCAAAGACCTGGTAACGACATACCCGCTGCTTCGAACATCTACTTCGAACCAACCAAGCCCGTCCTCTCTTGGGATAATGAGTCTGTTGATCAAGATATCCTTCCCAAGGCACCAAATGAAGAGCAGGTTGATCATGACCATCGTTCCACGGTATCCGAAGCCTTACCCGGAAGTTCATCTGCCTCCCAGACCTCTTCACCTGCTCATCAACCCACTGTCAACTTGGAATTCCCGCCAGTCTTTACTTGGCAGACAAAGAAAAAGCTTTCGACGGAAGAAATCGCGATCTCAAAACCAAACAACGCTCTCGATAATCCCAGCCCGGATCATCCAAAGTCGAATGTTCAGCCTCAAAATGAGTCACCCGACGTTTTAAGCGTAGACGAAGAAACAATAAAGCACGCCTCGGCGCATATCAATAATGAGCTCCTCGAGCCTACTGATGGAGATAGTTGGGAAATCTATAGACAAGCGACGACAAAATCCTACTTTGATGTGGACCGGGCCATCACACAAAGATATGGCGTTTCTCTTCCTACATTGATGGCGGAACCTGTTGAAAATGCCCCTGGATCACTTTGGTCAGACACGGCGGTCTTGAAAGTCGTTGTCGGTAGGCTGTGTCGACTATTCAACTTCTTTGCCCCGCTTTCATATCCATGTGCTGTCAGCGGCAAGTTCTGGGGAGCAGTTCATGATATTCTGACTGTGAGGACCATCCACTCCCTCTATTCCTACAGCTCCTAATACCGATATTTGCAGACCATCCCCCAATATTGGGACACCTCTTACGCGCAGGAACTGGCCAACCGAACGCGCCATCAACGGATGCCGGGGACCTTCTTTATAGCCAACCTCGGCCGGGCTGGTTACGCCGACCTGCAAGACGAGGTCTATCGGGACGAACTGACTTTCAGAGTCGGGGACTGCCAAAAATGCAATATATCTCGTCAATACTCCACCCGGTCGGATGCCCTCGACCATCTGTTTACACACCTTTCCGCTGCTTTCCCCGAAGACCGCTCCGTGAGCAGCTCGTTGTCCCGGTGGGTGATGAATTTTGAAGAGTATCTGACATATACATGTCGGAGAGATGACCGGATGATACTTAGAGAGCTGGAAGACTTTCTGGCAAACTTGGAAATGATGGCGGCTCAGATCCAGCACGGGGTCTCAGCTAATGGAGAGTTTGACCGGGAGACGTACCGCATCCCATCGAGCTTGGTCGACGCCTTTCAGGATCTCCTGATGATGGTCGTGACCAGCGCACATCTCGTCAAGGCCTGTCATAAGAAGCGAGAAACTTACACAGGTTCCGATCCGCTGCAGACCTTCTTGATGCCATCAGACTTGGACGGGGTCACGGATGCTGGGACGGAGTCGGAGATGTCTATGGAAAGTGCCATGAGAGACATCGTTTTAATGACCTATACCGACGAGCTATCCGATGTCGTGACCTACGAAGCCGTAGGTCCCGGATTAGTGCTCGCCCTTATTATGGGGGACGTCCGCTGCAGAGACTCGCAAAGCAATCCGGTCAACTTGCTCGAGATCTATCGTGAATACGTCCGAAATCTGGTCGGTATTCCTTTCTTGGTCCCTACCACTAATCTCGTTGTTACTAACGAATGTATAAATTATCAGCAATTCAAAGCGAGCCAAAATCCCCACCGACGCCTACTCCAGGAAATCTATCTCGTCCGCGAGGAGCTAGAAATAATCCAGAAGGCCTCCGAGAGACAGCGTCTTGTTCTCGCAAACTACCTAAACGTGATAAACCCCCATTCTTTCCGCATCACCACCGAGTCCCGGGTCTCCTCATTCGAGCTCGAGAAAACACGGTTAAACAAGCTCATCGGCCAGGTCAACGCCGAGCTCGGCGCAATCTCACTCCTCAACATAAAGCTCGACTCATTGGCCAGCCAGACACGTAGCGGGGTAGACGTGCGACAGGAAGACCAAGGAAAGGCCATCCTTGTCTTCACCATCGTGACTGTGGTATTTATGCCGTTATCATTCGTGACTAGCTATCTCGGCATGAACACCACGGACATCCGCAATACGAACAGGTCGCAGACGCTGTTTTGGGCCATCTCTGCTCCGCTGACACTGGGGATTATTACGATCGTCTTGCTGGTTGCGTTTCAGGTCGATCGGATTCGAGAGGCTTTTGACGCTTTTTGGACTTATGATTCTGCGCTGGCGGCGAAATCTGGCTCGGCTGTTTTGCGTGGGGACGGGTCGAAAGGTCACGTTCAAGGGTCATCTAGATTGTTAACGAAGAATTGGATTACAAGTGGCTGGCCTGCGGGAAGGAAGACAGGACTGGACGACTCAATGGGCGTTTAGTTTGTCTATCCTAGATTATTTCTGGTCTGCAAGAGTTAGGACTCGTATAAATACCACCACGAGTCTCTTTTTTTATGGTTAGAATTGTACTACAGGTTAGTTGATTTTGAGACCTCGAGTTTTCGTACATAAAGACTCCATACAATATCGGCAGTTGGTCTGAAGCACTTGGCCTTTGGCTCTACCTTTTGGCTGCCAACGGATGGAACCAACAGACTCCTTTTTGACGCCATCAGGATTTGCAAGTCTATCTCGTACGAGCGAGAAGTGCAATCAATATAATCTCTTTTCTCTAAAGGTATGGGACGGTGATTTATATATTTATATATTTGGTAATGGGCCACTTTTCTGATAACAGGCTGCACCAACTTCCTTTCTGCAGCAGACAGTGAGGTTTATATGTACGGAGTGTTGGAAGGTTGTTTTACGATCACTCGCTTGTGGATCAATTATTATCAAGAAATTTCGTGTTGGTTTGATTCTATGGAAGACCTTCAGGATTTACATTGTATAGAGTTCTTTGGATCTGCAGATCACTAGCCATTCCCAAAACCAGTGGTTCGGAGTCCAATCCTCCCGATCATGTCTAAGATGAACATCTTAGATCATAAGACGCTCGACCTGGTTCTTAATAGCGCGGATCTGAGCAGTCAGGTCACTAGCCTCGTTGGTAGTGATAGAGGCAGCAATCACGGGGCGGGAAACACCAGTAGCACGGCCGAGGGCCATCTTGCTAGGAACGTAAACGTAGGGAACCTAACAGTTATAGATGATCAGTTTAGAGTCTCGACGTAGGGCTCTAGAATATTTAACTCACGTTCTTGTCCTCAGCCAAAAGAGGCAAGTGAAGCACGATAGCAAGGGGGCTAGTATCCGCGGCCATGATGACAAGTTCACTAGTACCCCGGTTAAGGGACTTGGTGCACTCATTAGCGCCCTACGAGGAAGGTTAGCTTAAGCTCGGAAATCGGTTGAAATGGTATGCTTAGACTAAGGAGCGCTTAGAAGCCGGCTAGAGCGTACCTTCTTCAACTGACGGTAGTGAGCGGCTTGCTGCACAAGGTCGAGGAGGCTCTGGGCGAGGGCCTCATCGGCGATGGGCCACGCTGCACTAGTATCTTCGGCCATTGTTGTAGTTAGGAATTCAGAAACCAAGTCTTAAGAAATGGCTCACTCGGTGGATCACGGCCGGGTATTACTTCAAACGGAGAATAAGTGGATGTAGATTGAAGTCAAGTCCAAGATGACCAAGAAACTTTTCCAGGGACCGGACGGGTTTAGATACACCGCCTGCTGGATTTGCACATCATTCTGCACCCGGCTATACTCACCGCCTTTCCTGATTGGTCACTTTCCAGCCCCTTCGGCAATGAGCCATCCATGGATGCCCAGGTGGGCATAGTACGGAGCATCGCCAGGAGGTATTCACACTAAATCAATGGTGAATACTGTCCAGCAGATTCAACTAAAACTCACTTAATCGCTTTACTTCCAGCCTTTTCGTCCCAACTAAACTGGCAAGACCGTCAGGGCAGGCCTGGCCAACATGAATAAGTGAATGCGGTGGACCCCAGGTGTAGTGATGGTAGTAGATGAAGCCGAGCAATGGTCAAGGCCTAGGGGCTTTTAGACTCGTGAGGGTAGATGTATCTTATGCAAGTCCAAATCGTTGTGAGGAGTCAGTTTATGACAATAGTCCTTATTCAGGCTGAACGTTCTCGACACAGGGATCTAAGCCGAAATCAATATGTAAAGAAATGCGTCTCATGATTGTTTATATTAATGTACAAGAATCCAAACAGCCCCGTCTTCAACGCCTTTTTTGCAGGATGAGTAGGTAGTGGAGAGATACTTTTATTCAGCCACCTGGCCACAGAAACAGACACGCCAGTCTTGGTACCAGCCATAAGAACAAGTCCACCATCCATAAAATACAATGCTCTAAAAACACAGGCTGTGAGAGGTGGGATTAAAAACGAGTAAAGAAAACAGGAACCTCTATGCTATGTCGTTTGAATATGATGACCAAGACCGAACACCCGAGAACCGACTCGATGTGGGAACGTCGTTATGAAGAAAGAGATGGAATAGACAATGGTTGAGGGCGGTCAAAATGTAGATATGTCGATCGTGTTGGGGAATGGATAGGAGATAGAATTTAAGCCAGAGCCTTGTGCTCGGATGGAGGAGGGGGAGGAAGCTGTTTTGGACATTCGTTAGCAAACACGTCTTAGACTCCGACTCAAAACGAACTAATATCAAGGCAATGAGTTCATACCTCGAGCTTTGTGTTATCAGCCATCATGCGCTGGAAACCAATACCAACACCCTCAATCACAGCAAGGAAGACGGCACACATGATCGCGGAGTTTCGGGCGGCCTTATAACCACCACGGATAGCGAGGGAACCACCGGTGAAGAAACCAGCAATGATAGCATTGTAAGGATCTTCCTTCTTGCGAATTCCCTTGATTGAACAGTCGTAGATACTGAAAAGTCCTCCCCAACAGCCGAAATTACCACCGAGGACGGGCGCGCGCGCCTTGATAGCTGTGAGAGCACCTATCCGGCGCTCGCCGTACGGGCTATTGCGGAATCCCTTAATACCGTGCCAGACAGAACCACCAATAGCACCCATAGCGAAGGCACCGCCAAAGTCACTCAGGGCGACCCAGGGACAGGGATCGCGCGAGTGATCCATAATGTGTGAATGAGTCGGGTTATGAGTCGGGGATGTAAAGGCGGATCGGCTGTGTAGAGACTAACTGCGGAAGGCGCGAGGGTATAAGTCGAAGACTGGCAAAGAAGCCTAGTAAGAGAAAGGGAGTTGTGAAAGATGTGAGGGTGGTAAAGGTCGAAGTTCTTTTCCGGCTCAGAGTGCACGTGACCACTAAGGCTCGACCCGGCCGCCACCGAACTCTTTGAAATCTACGATCTCCTCCGCATTTATTATTATCTTTGCTTTATCATTCGTTCGGGTCAGGAATCCCGGGTGACGATAATATCTCGGCCATTCATCCCTGCCTATTGTCTCGAGACCGTCAGGAAATTTCTTCTTGACTGCGTCAGTTTGATTCTTTAGTTGTCGTCGTTTTGGGAGAGAGCCAATCGGAGATCATATATTCCTACCACCTTGCAACTTACGTTAGGTATTCTGTCCTTTAACAGAATGAGGTTCTACGGCAGCACCTCTTTATCTACAAGAAAAGAAACCTTGGAAGTTCACTATGTACCTTATTAATCCAATCAAGGACTTGGGGCACCTTGCACCCCCAGCCCTTTGCATATACAACTGTCTGTCGGTCTTCTACCATGATCTTCTTACTCTATATAATCTTCACCCAATCTACCTATATCCACCCACCTACCACCACTACGTACCTCGGCGTGAATTTTGGTCATCTTCCTCTTCCACACATGACATGATACATACGACCATAGGGTGTGGAAAATAGGGCTTCCCGTCCGCTCAGCCGTACTCAAGCCACCTACATCTTCTCAATCAACCATTCAATATGCCTTTCCCCTTGAAGCGGCGATGAAACCTTATTAGCCTGGGTGTGAAAAATTGGGGTGATAGTGGCGGTAACTTCACACCCTAGGTGAGCATCCTTCGCACCGAGGGTGTGAGTCCCACTCACCCTGGGTGAGCTTACTTATACCCGTCCGCCCCCCAACACATCAAGACTGGTCATTCTTAAATCGAAGTCCTCCCACGCTACTTTTTATGTTGCAATCCATCTCATATCTCAAGAAACTATCGCACTCTTCTACCTATTCAATACAATGGCAATGCAAGGAAAAGATCTTAGCAAGATTCTTGAGGCACAAGCCAAACTTGCAGCATCACGAGGGTTTACGCTCGAGTACCAAAGGGAGCAGGAACAATCAGAGAATCGTATTGCGCAACCCGAGTTAGCACCAGCTACTCACGATAAGTACGATCGTGCAGTGCAGATCTGGGTCCTGTGAGTTCTTGAATCAAATCTGAGCTGAACTACTCGCTGATATCTAGAAGGTGGAGACTTTCTCGAGGAGAACCAGGTGATCTTGGTAGCATGAAAGATGAACCAGCACCATCTCCTCAAGTCTTTAAGTCATTTGTGGAACACTATATTACCACACGAAAAAAATTACCCTCCCAAAAATCAGTGTATAATCATTTCATCAACTTTATTTCGTTTTGGGAACGCACCACATTTCGGAAGGTCGCCGTTGAGGTTAAAGAAGATCTTATCAATGTATGTCTATCGACCGGCGCTCGAGTAGAACTAACAACTTTTGAAATAGTTTATCGAGGGGGATATGACAAAGAAGCATAAGCTCCGCACAAAGCCACGCGAGCCGTTTTTAGTCACAGCAAAAGACATTGACTACCTTCTACGCCGGTTATTTACCAGCGATCCCCACGATTATATCCACGAGAGGGCTAGGGTACAAACCGGATCGTCACTTTCTTTATTCGCTGGTTCCGGGGCCCGGGCCGGTGCGATCGTGGAGTCGAGTGCTTATCGCCACACCAACGAGTGTCTTTACTACAGGGTTCGTGTCTCCGATATTTACTCTCGTGTCTATAATAACCTTGTCACTTAGCATATCAAATTCCACTTAAAGTGGGGTCGAGAACCAGGCACTATTAAACGATGGGTCACAATCGAATCCGAATTCTTAAAGGGATCGCGATACCAAGACAATGCCATTCTGTGAGCTAATAGTCTGCGTCCGGGTTTAATCGATAAGCTGACATTTTATAAAGACCGAAAAATTGGTTCCGAGAGCACCCGGTACTAGGAAAAGGTTTCATTTTCTGGGTCATTGTCCACGGGATCGCGGATAATGCATTCAAGAACATTACTAGTCTCGACCAACTCTTAGCGCAGCGCCCACCTAAAGGCAGAGAGTCATGGACTCTCCAATGGACGGAAGAAGCGAAAGATCTCTCTTTCTTCCGAATGGTTACCCCCGAAGGGCCTTTGAAGAATAGGGCATTGACGTTCGCATCACTACGTCATAACAACATGAGTCTAGCTAGACGAGACGGCTTTAAAGACCCACTACGTGTACACGGCATTCGGGGCGGTGTTGCAAACAAAGTTGACGGTGTGTTTTGTTATATACTATTAAGCTTTCCTACTAACTGTTCTAGGGCAATCGTCTGAGGCTAGTCGTAGCCAAGCACTTGATCACCAAAATCCTGACACCTTTCTAAAATACCAGTCCCCTCTAAAAGCATTGGATGTTGGAGCAATGTTCTTTGACTTAGAACAGGATCTTGAGTGCCGAGATATGGAACAAAGCATGGCTCATCACCGCGATCCTAACGCTCCTGTCTCTCTGAATGCGGCTGCTCGCGAAAGGTTCTCGCAGAGTGAGGAGATTGCACTAATCGACGCAGAGATTGTGATGCTTACACAGCAAATTTCCGGCAAGCCGAAGGATCATCCAGAGCTCGAGGCTAAACGTACAAAACTTTATAGTACAAAGGCCAACAAGCTTCAGGCCGCCACGTCATTATTCATTTCGGAATGGTGGGATGCTTCGTATGATGCATATATGGCAGGCAATGAATTTGAGGAGCATGACAAGACTTGTATCTTTGAGATACTGGAGAAATACCTTCCCCAGCGTGCGCGTCTCAAAGAAAACCTATTCAAAAAGGTAACCCTTGATAGTGTTATTGGCCGACAATGCCTGCGAGATATGATTCACCTATGTTGCGATACTGAAAGGGTTGTCTACTACCCTGGGTTATGCCCTGAAGACGGCCGATGTCCAATTTGTAAAACGAGCATGTCGAGGTAAGTGTAGTGACTTTGCCGACTTACTTACACTAGCTGAATCGAAAAAAGCATTGCATATAGTGGCCGCGCGAAACATATATTGCAGTGTCGAAGGAAAGAGCTAGGCTCTGCTCCTTACCAGCAGCGATACACGAATGGCAAACGCGCTCATCGCCGGGTTCAACGGAATTTCGCTCAATTTTGTTATCTTTGTGCGGAATTTTACTACGACCAACAGAGCTGGATGCAGCATTGCAAATCGCATCTTGATCACCTTAGGCCTCGATGCGGTCTCTTGACATTTCGCTATACGCTTGTTGCCCCGGCTTTCTGTCCTTTTTGCCTCGGCGATGAAAACAAAGACCCAGATGAAAAATTTCAGCAATGGGTGAAGAAAGCCACACTTTGGAATCATATAGACTCCCATCTTCGTAAGTTTAAGTCTGACTCGGCGATACCATGTCCGCATCCGTTGTGTAATCAACAGATCTATGCGGACAAAAAAAGCCTTCGAAGACACTTATATGATGGACACTCGATTGATGAACCACGTCCCAACTGCCTTGCTCGCAAAAGGAAGGCGGAAGATGAGACTGACATATCGGAGAACTTGGGTTCGGAATTCAAAATCCAGAAAATGGACACTTGCGCATCGTGAACTTCAAGATATTTGATTTGGAGACCAACTTAGAATTGTGTCTTCCGAGGCTGTACGGCGTTATTGTTATTAATATAAGGGAGAAAAATAAAATATGACTAGCCTTCTGAGAACATGGAAGAGACAGAATAGGCTTATATTGTCTATAAAAGTAGCTCAAAACGCATTCGACAGTCTGCTCATCTAGTACTAATGATCCACATGATGATATGGCACCAGGGTGAGCATAGTATATAGTCCTATTAGGTCCAGCGATGATCTGAACTGGGCGATCCCTGAACGCCCTGGCGTCGTGTCAGTTCTTGATGCCATAGGTGACGTAAAATGAAAAGAAGCCAACCTACTTGGAATTTGGAATAGAACCAGCGATAGAAGTCATTTCCAGAGGACACGCAATATTCTGGGTGCGCAAGTAGATTCTCGAAAGCACATATAGAAATGGAAAATCGATCCAATATGAAGACAACCTCTAACGGTAGGATCCTTGCTGACACGGCTCGGTGGATATTAAAGATGCATCATAACAAAGTAAGGCTAAGTAAAGGTTCCTTTATTTGGCCGCCTTGCCTGACTGGTGAGGATGATCGGCTATAAACTCTTGCCTGAGGCGTATGATAACACCGCAATGCCTTTGCGGCTGCATCTAGGGAGCGGTGAAGAATGACGAACAGGGATAGCTGATCAACTGTAATATGGACGGTAATCTAGACGTGTCCTTGCCCGGACTCGATTTGAGAGAGAGACGCGGCAGCGAGAAACGTCGGAGAACATTACACATTCGAGCACTGCAATTACCGATCGGTTACACCACTCGGCTGCATCTCCATATGCTACTAATGTAACTAGGCTTGAAATCAGATCGCATAGCTCGTCCGGAGAAGGAAATGGACGTCGATCGTGACCTGGAAGATTTTTTTTATGCTGGCAGTGGCTGTTGGGCTGAACCTAGTAATCCTAGTCAACAGCCCCACATACAAGCTCTCAAACGGGTCCGCTCCCCCGCCCAAAAATAACCTTAAACATCAACGACAACGTTATTTTATGGTACCAGATAAAGAACTAAACTCACATGACCGTCCATTATGTTCTCCATTGGCTGATTAAGCCAGGAGAGTATGGGCTAGTAATCCAATATAGAGGATGAGATCAGGCGGGACCAATCTTGGATGAATAGGTTGGATGATTGGAAAGGACGAATATCAATATCATAGGCAGGTTGAAATATTCCATTACGACTACCGTAATGCCAAGGATACCAAATTACTATACAGAACACAAAGGTGACTGGGTCACTGAAATATAATCCCTGTCAAGGCGGTCAGTTACCGCTCCATGTCTCGACACCTTACCTCGCCCGCTCGACCATGCGTGACTCCGTCTCCAGCATCGTCGCAACATCGTTCTGGGAAGGCTTAATGAGGGACCCATCCACTTATAAACTGGGCTAGCCTCATTCTGGACGTTTCGGGCCTTGAGAGCCATGGCAAAGTTCTCAGGCATATGCTGCTCACTCCTAGAGGATCGTGGCTCGCAGGACTCTTCAACCTGGATCCTGGATAATGTTACGTGAGAACAACTGGACTGGTTCTCACTAACCGAGATTGCCAATATATAATATATGCCTTATTACTCAGGCAACTAGCTCACTGCCCTCCCTCCTCCTAAACTGGCAAGCTCCTTCCATACAGAGGGAGGTTGCATTATATCTGTGCCTTTCTGCCTATCCACACCGGGAGGCCACAGGCACAGATATACGTGCTCTGTTTGCAGTCAAGATGTATTAGAAGGAATATCTTTATCGACGTTCAGGGGTTTGACGGGTAAGAGGTGAGGTTGTTTGCGCGGGTGATTGCCTCTTCTATCACGCCTCTCCTCCTTCCCTTGCTTGCATCTCCACCTTTTTTCCTACAAACACTCTCTTCTTTGCCACAGCTCCTCCCTTATAATCTGGCCTCAAGAACCCTCCTTATCGCCGTTTCCACCCTTCAAAACTCTCGCAATCATCTAGCACTTCCGCAATACTCTCTCCGTCCTCTACTCACTCATTATATCGACAATAATGGTGTCTACAAGGGAACCTGACCCCAGGGCCGGCCCTATGCTAGCGGACCCCCTGCTTCTCGAAAAGATTGACAAGCTCTTCGCCTGCAATATCGGCGAGTACATCAGTCTCCCGCAACTCGTGGTCGTTGGTGACCAGTCAAGTGGGAAGAGTTCTGCCCTGGAGGGCCTGACCAAGCTCAGCTTTCCCCGTGACAGTGGTCTCTGCACCCGATTCGCAACGCAGATTATCTTTCGTCGCGACACGAACTTGAAGGAGCGCGAGATTTCGGCCTCGATTATACCTTCGCCTGATCTTGACGCGGGCGATGCGGAGAGGTTGAGGGCCTGGAAGGCTTCTGGTGCTGAGACACTGGGTGGGGATGGGTTCGTGTCGATGATGAAGGAGGTATGTTCTCGGCTTTTGTCTCGCCTTTCCTATACGACATTCAACTCGTTCCAGCGTAGACTGACTGGGAATCAAGGTCCACGAAGTCATGGGACTCTCTTCATTTGACAACGATGGGAAGCCGACTTTCTCCAACAATGTTCTCTGTTTAGAGATCTGCGGTCCCGACGAGGAGCATCTCAGCGTCATCGATGTTCCTGGTATCTTCAAGAACACCACACCCGGGCGCACCACAAAGAACGACATCGCCATGGTCCGCAACATGGTCCTACGCTACATGCAGAACCGCTGGTCAATCATGTTGACTGTCGTCCCGGCCAACGTCGACATCGCCACTCAGGAGATTATCGAGTTGGCCCGCGAAGTTGATCCTCCTGGGGAAAGGACACTGCGGATTCTTACCAAGCCCGATCTCGTTGACAAGGGGGCTGAAGACAAAGTCATTGACCTGATCGAGGATCAGAACGCTAGTGGGCAGCTGGGTTCGGTTCTTGTTCGAAATCTGGGACAGCAGCAACTTGAGGACGGAAACGTCAACCGTGATGCTGAGGAGGAATTCTTCCGCCAGACGGCTCCATGGAATCGACTTCGGGCCGAGAATTTTGGCATCAGGGCGTTGAAAAATCGTCTCCAGGATGTTCTTGCGTCGACTGTTCGTCGTGAATTTCCTTCAGTACGTATTACATGCTATAAGCTTGGAAAATAAGAGCCTGCTGATGATCCTGACGTTCTCAAAAGGTCCGCAAAGAAGTCAATAAAAAGCTAAAGGCGTCTAAAGACACACTTCGATCTCTCGGAGACGAGCGTGAGACTGCAGAGCAACAGCAACGACTTCTGCTGGGTGTTGTTGCTACTTTCCAGGACATTACCCAGCAAGCTCTAACGACAAACTATGGCATACGCGAAATTTTTGACGATCCAGAACTGCGACTGGCTACATTGGTCGCGAACCGGAATAGTGATTTCGCGCATGATCTTACCACTCGGGGTCATGAATACGCCTTTAAGCCAGGCAGCGGTGACAAGAGCACAGACCATAAAGGTGAAGGTGAGCGAGACGACAAAGAAGAGAATGGAGATGGCCTTGAGCAGAAATTTGGTGATGATGGGACACCAGAGGCGCAGTCGATCTTGAGTCGTAAAGTCACAGAGAACGGAGATCTGCACGAGATCCTACACGAAGGTGCCCCTATCGAATGTTCAATACGGGCCGGGATTACTGAGTGGATTAGCAAACTTTATGGTGATGCCCGAGGGTTCGAGATTGGCACATTCAACCACGTTTTGCTTTCGACCCTCATGAAGAAGCAATCGGCTAAATGGCCCAACCTTGCACAGGGATATGTCAGCGATGTTATCTCCTACGTCCACAGATTCATACAGAAGGCGCTTCTGGCTGCATGTCCTGACAGTGAAATGTCTTCAAGCATCCTGTCCCTACTGATGGACGAGCTGATGGACAATTACCGACAGGCCATCTCCGTGGCTGATTTCCTTTTGGGCATTGAACGGGCAGGCACCCCGATGACATTGAACCACTACTTGAATGACAATCTTCAAAAATGGTAAGCCACTGCCAGCAATAGTGAGGCTAGTGATTCTAACCTGATTTCATAGCCGGGAAAAGCGATTCCAAGATGCACTGGCCAAGAAAGCTTTCACAGTTGAGTTCCCGCAGGGTGATGAAAAAGCCGTTCGACTTGGTGATGTCCATCATCAGGATCATATGAGCAATTTTGATCACACAGTTCAAGACATTCATGATATCTTGGAGTCTTACTACAAAGTCGCCCGCAAGCGGTTCGTCGATAATGTCTGCATGCAAGCCACGGATCACTACTTGGTCACAGGACCTAAGTCACCCATGAAGTTGCTCTCTCCTGCCTGGGTGAACAGTCTTTCCACTGATCAGCTGGAAGAGATAGCTGGCGAGGATGCAGTAACTAGGCGCAGACGTCAGCAGCTGCGGAAGGAGATCAGACATTTGGAGAGCGGGAGGAAGGCCCTGATGATTTGATAGTCCGGAGGCCAGAGAAGCTAGGCTTGATCTGTGTTCGTGAGGTCGTTATCTCGTTTTGAATCAATGTAGAAAGCAATCTACCTGACATTTTGATGAAAGGCAAACAGATAGCTAGGCCCAAGCTGCTCCACAGGCAAACACTCTCAGACTATATTTGCCATTTACTGCCTGGTTGTTGTAACGGAAAGCAAATTCGTTAGAAAGTAGCACGGAGCCCTCTTCCATACGGAGCCCTCTTCCATACGGAGCCCTCTTCCATACGGAGCCCTCTTCCTTACGGAGCCCTCTTCCATACGGAGCCCTCTTCCATACGGAGCCCTCTTCCATACGGAGCC